GTTCTCACATGTGTGTAGATTTTAGTGAAAATGCACCCAAACATGGCACTGTTTTACTGGTACCTAGAGTCGTTTTATATATCTCTTAAATGTCACGTGGTATCTGTCTATTATCAAGTGATCAAACAAGCTGTACCATGCTTATAAATGCCTGTATATGACCAAATGCACATGCTGAGAATGAAATAAAGTTATTTAAGTTGTCGGTATACTCCTGAATTATGTGAGGATAGCTCCGCTGTCAATTTAACAATTTCCAAACATGTCTCTTACATTAATAATCAGGTGGACTATGTTTTTAAGTTGTTATGAATATATGAAGTTACAGAAGGTAAGCTGGCTACATCGAATACTAGAATATTTGTTATATACAACACCTTTTCAAGACGACAAACATTTGATTTTTGGATCAAAGTGGCCATCTGATTAGAGACGAATTATCTAAACAATTAGAAATACGTTTGAGAAAGTTGACATAATTGTCATTTTATTTAATTAACATTTAGCAAGTTAAGACATTAACTGATATGTTTACAGCAGAATTAAGATTTTCATCAGCAATATTTTTCTAACCACTTCATAATTGCCAAGATATGAAAATTGTCAGAGTAAAATTGAAACGTTACATATTTTGCCGTATTATTGATAATTAACTTTATTTCGGCATTAACGATATTCGTATTTATTTTGTTTTTATTTTGCTTCAAAACATTTTGTTCAATTTAATGGTTCTTTAGCCTTACAATCAATAGGTTAGACGAGTACAAACATGCCCCCTACCTGATTTAATATGCCTTTAATAATTGCGGTGTTGTTATGAGATGGACATAACGAGGTCAATATGATCGTTTACAGAGGGACACTGTACCATCATGAGGTCCATACCGGATGAAACGCCTTTATGGAATATATTTCTTCCTTGTGAGATTGGGAGAGTATCATGAAATAGCTGGTCCTATTGGTAGATTGATGTCCTTAGGTAAAGAAAGTGCCAGATTGAGGTAGGTATCGTGATGCTGAGGTGACTAAATTCTGTTAAGAGGTCGGTGTTGTATTTCAAATATCAAAGATAAAAAATTAAGGAAGTGCTTTATGATGTCAATATCTTAGTTTTAAGATAAATAAAGCAACAGGATGAAGTAAATATCTTTGTTATGACATCCGTGTAATATTGTCGTTTTGCAACGGACAGCGCGCCTTTAAGTGGTTGACTGTCTGATACTGTAATAACACCGTACGCTACTACACTTCACAAACCACAACTATTTCCGAATTGGTGCAATCTCAGACATCCCCTCATTACCATATCAGACCTGTGAGGTTTATCACCAACACGTACATGTTTTTTATGGTATTTTGTCATCAAATTTACATAAACGTGTTTTATTACGTAAAAGTTTTTTCTTGGGGGTTCGCACTTGTTGGTCCGGGTAACATGTGAAAATGAGTTATCACCAATCTTACATTGCGGATGCTTATCGTGGTTAAGTAGGATAGCCAAACTTAAATATATGTTTTTAAATGTAAATGTCTATTCTGTCTACCTAGTCAGGAACTAAAAAAAATATATATCATTTAATATCAGTGTTAAGTTTAAATATCAATTCAATAGATGAACGAACATTGACTTTGAAATTATGAGATGGATATGTTATAACCATTTAAATTTTTATCAAATGTTTGTCAATACGAATTACCTGACTAATCTAATACTTGTTCAGATCATAGAAATAACATCTTATTTCAATTATGTGTCCTGTTTCTACTTTCTACCTGCATATCTTATGTTTTTGATATAGAAAGTAAAGACCAATACAAATACAAAATAAAGAAAAGCTGTAATATCTGTCTCCGGGCGAGATTCACATCTTACACGGAAATGTTTTAATGGGTTAGTCACTGTACGTAGGTATAGATATGTCAATGGTTTGTATCAGAAAGGTGCTGATTAGATCGTACCGTTTAGTTGTGGACGATTATTTTTGGAAACATTAAACATGAACTCAGGGGAAAATAAACATCTAAAAAGTGAGAAGATTTAACAGAGGAGATATTTTGGCATTTATTTAATTTTTTATATTTACACTCTCAATTTCAATCATAATTATAAAGGTACAAAATGTATTCTAAATTATACAGGTAACTATCGCTTAACAGCTAGATATATAAGTAATGATAGCTAGCTCTTAGTATGTTATAAATGGTGTTAATGTGATATCATAAGAATGAGTTGGGAGTATATTTTGTACATGTTTAAAAAATATTTTTTCCTATGTAACTGGAATGTTTCTATTTCGATAAATAATGACAAACCACATTTTCCGAGTATATCACAAGCATTTTATTATATTTCTGCTAATATGGATCTCTCCTTAATTTAAAGATATCTTTATCTTATATAACTAAATGCCTAGTTTATTGTACGACACAGGTTTAGCCTTTTCGAGACTCCCCTCTAAATGTTATTGTTTTAAGCGTAGATTACCTATTTGTATATTACACCATGCACTCTTGTACAATTGATACAACATATTGAATGTCACATATATTTCTATATGTCACATGTATTTATTTATGTGTATTAGGAAACGACGCCAATTTTCATTCCTGTCAAACACTTTATGACATATCTTCAAACAACATGTCTACGTAAATTATTTGTTATATAAACGACGGAAAATTGACCGATATAAATAGGAGATCTTCAATGCGGAAAAAACAAAATGTCCCATATATTTCACTAGCACTCGAATCCTTTTGTCTTACAAGTGTAAGACATGAGGATATAATATATCTCTGTCGCACGAGTGAAATACAGGCGACAAACGGGAACTCATTGCTTTATTTATCTATAACATCATCAAATAAAAGATTCTTCAAAAATGTTATGTATCATAACAATGATCGTATAGATTAAAGCAGCATATTCTCTATATATAATCAAACAGCGGTATCTTGAATGGGCTCCATTTTCTGTTGGTATCTGATCATAGCAATTAATTTTAAAATGTTACTTAAATAGAAATGGTAGCAGTGACAGCAAATGTTTTATAAAACAGAAGGACACATCAAAGAATTTTAAAACACGGAAAATTTTCGTCATCATTTAACATCTTATATTATCACTTAAGTGATTAAGATACTTAAATTTTGATAGTTCGTGGGAAAATTTAGAATGTTTCTCTTCACAAATTTCAATAAACAAACTTCATATAAGATAGATATCGATTATGTATCTGTTTTCCTAAAACATTAAAGTATGATTGTTATGGTTATGTCCTTAACCGCTATCGAACTATGCTTTAAGCTGTACCTACTTTGTAACTATACTCTTAATCCGTACATAACTATGGCCTTACTTGGTACCTAACTATGCACTTACCATGTATATAACTTTGCCCTTAACGGGTACCTCACTATGCCCTTTAACGGTATCTGAATATGCACTTACCAGGTATATAACTTTGCCCTTAACCGATACCTAAATGCCTTTACCAGGTACCTAACTATGCCTTATCCTGATACCTAACTATGCCCTTAACCAGTTGCTAACTATGTGTCCGGTCGACATAAATAGGAAAACTTCCTACCTATATTTGCTTATGGAACCAGGAACGTTGTGTTTCCCACCTATGTAAATACAAATTTAGCATTCCAACATAAAGAAAGTTCGTTTCTCTCAGCATTGGTAATTCAGTACAAAATGTTTAAGGTAATGTGATTCGTCTTGTTGATCAGCTTAAGTGTAACAGAAAGCCGAGTTCGGTTGGGATATTTTTCTGGTAGGATATTTACATATACATTTTTTTTTCTCTCCCATTGATAGACTTTTTCAGATTATATCGTGAAAACTTAACAACATTGATACCCCTACAGTGCAAGAATTCTTCTTGAACAATTAACTTCAAAGCTTTCTTTGGTAAATGATAATTGTTGATTTTTTTTCATTTTTTGAACTGTCCACATTTTATAGTCATAAATAATCTTAACGTCTTGTGTTTGTTTAACCTTCTGGAGTTCATAGTTTTGTAGTCGCATGGTCAAAACAGTAGTGTACACGTATAGTTCACGTGTAATCGGTTTCTCGCGACACGTCATTACATATCCATGACGTCATTTAAAGGTAACAAATTAACATAATTAAACTAACAATACAATTTTAAACTAGTAAAAGAATATCGTGTTCACTGTTGTCACATCAACTGAACGTGATGTATATTATAAAGATAATGTATTGATGTGTAGGATTACATTGTTGTGTTATGGATAAAATAAGCCACACATTATTACAATTAATTTGATAGAACAGTCAATACATGACACATATCACAGTTTTAGTGAAGATACAAAAGATAGAAACCTTATCACAGATCTAACATTATAAGAAAACAGTTCATCTTACTAGCTCTGCAGTGAACCATCGATATTAGGGACGAATAATGTAAATATTCGGAATTTTGATCGTGAAGATTTCAAAACATCTGGATTTCTTGACATGATGTTGGGGAAATGGCTTGAAAAGTCCCTGGATGACTTTACATTAGAGACTTGGCTTCTGGACTTCCTAAAGTGATATGACAGTTGCAGGTATCTGACGTCAGCACCAGGAAATGTCACGTGGAATTATATATTTTCGACTGGGAATGAAAGACCCTGGTCTTATGACCTCTAGTTATAAATCCCAGGATGAAATATATCTATTTTACATTGATTAAAGATATAAACCATTTATCACAAGCACATTAGCCTAACCAATTCATTATCGAGTTATGGTAGAGGAAGCCATGAAAGCTGATTTATGGCGACGTTTGCAAGCTTTATCTAAAACATATTTCATCCTCATGTGTATGTTGGTAGATCGTCTTCTTTCGAAGACTAAGGGCTTTGTTCCAATCTATCAAGTCTCGTAGGAAAGTTCCGCCCACGACGAAGTCCTATTACCCCAGCTCCTGGTGTTTATTGTACATGTAGTTAACTCTAAACAGAGATATGTATCTACATTACAGCTTTGTAAAGTTTTCCTGGGAAGGGAAACTTGTTGTTGAGGAATGTAATCCAAGCGTCACTTTGGAGGGCGATTTCTGTGGTCTGGAAGAATTAAATAAAAACAACACGTCATAGATTTTATTTTAAAAAACGATGTTTATCATATAAGGCATCCTCAGTTAAATATATAGATAATGTTTTAAATTTTAAAAAATCGATTTAGAATACCTTTACAAGTCATAAGAAATAATTTATTGTATCAGATACGTACTTTCCGAATTGTATGGCATCCTCTATAGTTTCCGGGAGTTTTCGTTCCAAGGTTTCCGGAAGAAGAAGTGCCAACAAACCAGCGGCGACAGATGCCCCACCAAAAATCATCAAAGGGAGAGCAATGCCAAAGTTTCCATCAACCAATTGTCCCTGGTGTACACAGTAATATTTATGTAGTCATTCTTAATTGGATTGCCAACTTTTTGTCGCTACTTCTGTATTACCACATTTATCAATATGTAAATTTATTCATGAACTAGATCATTTTTGCAGGTTGCATTATAAAAACACCGCTGATATATTCAGCGATACGTTGATAGGTGTGGGAATTACTATTTGATATGATTGCCTTGGGATTTTAATGAAGTTTTGATATCTCACCGATTGTGCTACGTAAGGAGCGGCCATGCCTCCAAAGCGTGCCACACATGAACTTGCTCCCATACCGCCATTGCGGACAATAGTTGGATATAGCTCGAGAGAGAACACATATATCACCCCAAAGGCAGCCGCAGCTCCGAACTTTCCAATCATCGACAAGGTCAAGGTCAACGGCATTAGGTCTACAAAAGCAAATATCTCAAAGATAAAACAAAGAGAAAAATCGTGAATACGGGAAAGGACAGACCCGCTGTTCATATCATCTCACCTACCGTGAGGAATCGTCTACGGTTTCTATATAAATAAAAGTGAAGGGATCACAATGACCGATAGAATGACGTTGAAAGGCAGTACTAGGAACACGGCGACTACATGTAAGGCACACTTATCGGTGCATGATGTTGACACAGACATTTCCCATCAAATACTGATTCCCGAGTTATGATTTCTCACTTTTACTTGTATGTTACGGATACTGCTGTCTTATTTTCCTGTTTTATACTCGTAATTGCAAACCTTGATTTATTTTGTTTAAGTGTCTAAATCGTTCTCTAGCTCCAGATCATTCATACGGTTACGTACCATCGCCTCCCAACAACACCGGACCTATGGTACACAGGCATGCAATGCCAGCGGTAAGCATACATGCGCATTGGAGTTTCTGCCGGCCCCAGCGGTCAAGCAAGGCTATGGTCGCAGCACCGGCTGGAAATTCAACTAGAGCCATGAGGAAAAATCCAAGGAAAAAGTTGTCGCTCAGTTTCCCGGCATGCATTGTTACTCCATAGTAGACCATGCTGACAACGATCCTGTAACGATAGAAAACAACCCGATAAATATCAAAATAGAAAGGTGTACTGGGCGGGGCATTTAACAAATATTCCTACTACTAAAATAACATACAATGGATCATAGATAACATCCGTATTAAACATGTAATGCAAACAAAAACAAAACAAACAGAAAATATAGAGATATATTCACAGCTGCTTACGACCACGCCCTCACGACATCATGAGTGTCATGCCTTGCCTAACCATTTTATGAAACCAATTTGAATAGATCTCCATTTAAGTCCCTAGCATCACGGATTCGACCTGCATAGAACGTCTGTGTCATAATATGTAATTCATTACAGACATATTCTGTATATATTATAAACAGGGTATGCTTAAATCGAGCGTACCTTTATAATTACCACAAAAGAGTAATCGGACTGCAGCAATTCGTAATTACAGCATATTGTACATATATAGATTTCATTTGTGAATAAAGCGAATGAAATGTAAGAATTCTACCGCGTTGATAAAAATCTAGATTTGATTTAAGTGTTGATTGATTTTCATACCGCCTGCATTAACATCTCATCACAAGTTAACACATATTTTGCAAACATTACATTGAACTCAAGATAGTCTCCGAATGAATATATTAAAAACATATTTTCTTGTAGTATGAGTGAAGTCATTAGAGATTTACACTCGGGCTCATGGATCGCCTGAAAGCTGTGCTCTTATAAATTCGTATTTAAATCAGCTTTTCACTTTGGTTTATTCTTTCTCTAGAATACATTTCAATACATATAAATATTAATATTACTGGTCTTGGCATTTCACTATGACTGCAAAGATTTTATAAATAATTATGAGTCCAACAATGTCTCACCCATGAACCTGACATGACTGCCACATCGGAACAACAGAAATCTAGTACTCTAACTTAATAAAAATGCGTCCTACACTTGTAGAGCAAACTCACCAATTGAAAAACAGTATCATCGTCCTGATAAATAACACTTTATTTGTAAACAAGTGCCAGAGTTGTCCCCCTTCTGGTGCATCTATTGTTTTCTCGTCCACAAATCGTTCAGTTGTTTTCACCTTATTAACTTTAGCGACATGCTGCATGATTTCTTCAGCTTCGTCATAGCGACCTTGGCTTATGAGCCAGCGTGGGGACTCGGGTATAAACCTGGAATATATACGTCTTAATGTGACCATCAGAAACAGCAATATAGACACAATATTGATGACGATTAGTCACTGCAGTCACCAGGAAGCTGTCTTCCCAAGCATCAGGAGACAGTCTCCCAAGTCACCAAGAGACGGACATTCCAGTCACAAGGAGACAGTCTCCCACGTCATCAGGAGTCAGTCTTCCCAGTCACGTGGAGACAGTCTTCCCTGCCACAAAGAGGCAGTCTTCCCAGTCACGTGTAATAGTCTTCCCAGTCACGTGGAGACAGTCTTCCCAGCCACAAAGAGGCAGTCTTCTCAGTCACTAGGAGGAGACAGTCTTCCCAGCCACCAGGAGACAGTCTTCCCAGTCACCAGGAGACAGTCTTCCCAGTCACCAGGAGACAGTCTTCCCAGCCACCTGGAGACAGTCTTCCCAGCCACCAGGAGACAGTCTTCCCAGTCATCAGGAGACAGTCTCCCAAGCCACCTGGAGACAGTATCCCTAGTCATTAGGAGACAGTCTTTTAAGTCATCAGGAGACAGTCTTCCTAGCCACCAGGAGACAGTCTTCCCAGCCACCAGGAGACAGTCTTCCCAGTCACCAGGAGACAGTCTCCCAAGCCACCTGGAGACAGTATCCCCAGTCATTAGGAGACAGTCTTCCAAGTCACCAGGAGACAGTCTTCCCAGTCACCAGGAGAAAGTCTCCCCAGTCGCCAGGAGACAGTCTTCCCAGTCACCAGGAGAAAGTCTACCCAGCCAACAGGAGACAGTCTCCCCAGTCACCAGGAGACAGTCTTCCCAGTCACCAGGAGACAGTCTTCCCAGTCACCAGGAGACAGTCTCCCCAGTCATTAGGAGACAGTCTTCCCAGTCACCAGGAGACAGTCTCCCCAATCACCAGGAGACAGTCTTCCCAGTCACCAGGAGACAGTCTTCCCAGTCACCAGGAGACAGTCATCCCAGTCATCAGGAGACAGTCTTCCCAGTCACCAGGAGACAGTCTTCCCAGTCACCAGGAGACAGTCTTCCCAGTCACCAGGAGACAGTCTTCCCAGTCACCAGGAGACAGTCTTCCCAGTCACCAGGAGACAGTCTTCCCAGCCACCAGGAGACAGTATTCCCAGTCACCAGGAGACAGTCTTCCCAGCCACCAGGAGACAGTCTTCCCAGCCACCAGGAGACAGTCTTCCTAGTCATCAGGAGACAGTCTTCCTAGTCACCAGGAGACAGTCTCCCCAGTCACCAGGAGACAGTCTTCCCAGTCACCAGGAGACAGTCTTCCCAGCCACCAGGAGACAGTCTTCCCAGCCACCTGGAGACAGTCTTCCCAGTCACCAGGAGACAGTCTTCCCAGCCACCAGGAGACAGTCTTCCCAGCCACCTGGAGACAGTCTTCCCAGCCACCAGGAGACAGTCTTCCCAGTCATCAGGAGACAGTCTCCCAAGCCACCTGGAGACAGTATCCCCAGTCATTAGGAGACAGTCTTTTAAGTCATCAGGAGACAGTCTTCCTAGTCACCAGGAGACAGTCTCCCCAGTCATTAGGAGACAGTCTTCCAAGTCACCAGGAGACAGTCTTCCCAGTCACCAGGAGAAAGTCTCCCCAGTCACCAGGAGACAGTCTTCCCAGCCACCAGGAGACAGTCTTCCCAGCCACCTGGAGACAGTCTTCCCAGCCACCAGGAGACAGTCTTCCCAGTCATCAGGAGACAGTCTCCCAAGCCACCTGGAGACAGTATCCCCAGTCATTAGGAGACAGTCTTTTAAGTCATCAGGAGACAGTCTTCCCAGCCACCAGGAGACAGTCTTCCCAGTCACCAGGAGACAGTCTCCCCAGTCATTAGGAGACAGTCTTCCCAGTCACCAGGAGAAAGTCTCCCCAGTCACCAGGAGACAGTCTTCCCAGCCACCAGGAGACAGTCTTCCCAGTCACCAGGAGACAGTCTTCCCAGTCACCAGGAGACAGTATTCCCAGTCACCAGGAGACAGTCTTCCCAGCTACCAGGAGACAGTCTTCCCAGCCACCAGGAGACAGTCTTCCCAGTCACCAGGAGACAGTCTTCCCAGCCACCAGGAGACAGTCTTCCTTGTCATCAGGAGACAGTCTCCCCAGTCACCAGGAGACAGTCTTCCCAGTCACCAGGAGACAGTCTTCCCAGTCACCAGGAGACAGTCTCCCCAGTCACCAGGAGACAGTCTTCCCAGTCACCAGGAGACAGTCTTCCTAGTCACCAGGAGACAGTCTTCCCAGTCACCAGGAGACAGTCTTCCTAGTCATCAGGAGACGGTCTTCCTAGTCATCAGGAGACAGTCTCCCCAGTCACCAGGAGACAGTCTTCCCAGTCACCAGGAGACAGTCTTCCCAGTCACCAGGAGACAGTCTTCCCAGTCACCAGGAGACAGTCTCCCCAGTCACCAGGAGGCAGTCTTCCCAGTCACCAGGAGACAGTCTTCCCAGTCACCAGGAGACAGTCTTCCCAGTCACCAGGAGACAGTATTCCCAGTCACCAGGAGACAATCTTCCCAGTCACCAGGAGACAGTCTTCCCAGTCACCAGGAGACAGTCTTCCCAGTCACCAGGAGACAGTCTTCCCAGCCACCAGGAGACAGTCTTCCCAGTCATCAGGAGACAGTCTTCCCAGCCACCAGGAGACAGTCTTCCCAGTCACCAGGAGACAGTCTTCCCAGTCACCAGGAGACAGTCTTCCCAGTCACCAGGAGACAGTCTTCCTAGTCACCAGGAGACAGTCACCGCGGAAATCATAGTTACAATTTAATCGAAATAAAAATCTGCACTACAATATATATGTACGGAAAGAAAACTTAAACAATACATGTAACTCATCGACGGATTAATACCGTGTCACTATATACATTCTACAAAAGGAAGAGGGAGGTAAGCAATGGCGGTTAAACTTACAAGTCGGTCGGGAAGATTTATACAACTTAGCTAAAGATATAAAACTTCTCAATGTCCGGACAACATTCAACAATATCAGGTGAGGTATTACGTGAAGTTCAGCTTTAATGCCTTCTTTACGTAGAAGACATTCTGGTTTCTGTAGAACTTCTTAACTTCATTGTTTTCGATCAAAGTAAACAAAATTTATAAGCACTGATAAGATCAAATGTTAATCACATGATAATGCTACCCATTTGAAAAACACGTGTTAAAATTCCTCTCCAACTTCAAATTATATCAATTTATCACTGCCCAAACCACACGGCATATCATCAACCATAACATACGTACCACCAGTAGAACATGTAGAAGGTACAAGGAATGGCCACCGCTAGTTGAATCCATTTCCAATGCCGGAGTAGGTAGCCTACTCCAGCCAAGTACACAAGTCCGATCGCGAAGAAAATGTGGATAACGATTCCTGCCCATATCCTCTTGTTTGGTCCCACTAACTCCAGACCTGTGTCGCACATCAATTTACAAAACGTATTGAAATTGTCGATTGCGACATTTCTTTAGATCAATAGACATCACAGATCATGTATATCGAACGACGTTATAATGTGTAGCAGTATAAAGAGTAATAGAACTTAGTAAATGTTTATGACAACGAAAATTAGACGATCATAGGATGTTAAGAAAGCATTTAGCATATACGTGTTTGATCACTTTTCATAAGTGTACACTTAGTTGATATCAAATTCAATTCGAGGTTACTTTTTCATTGTTGAACTTGTCGTTTACCTGAACACATAATATTATGACAAAAACTTCAGCATCAAATATGGCGTGGGGGAGATAACTCTCACTAATAAACAACAAATATATGTGTCCCTGTACAATTTGGACGCCGTCAAATCAATATTCTTTATGTTTGTATACCAGAATTAAATTGTAATAACATATCATTCAGGTTACAACAACCCCAGGGACTAAAAGTCTACCAGTGGTGTCTACCACCTGCGATATCGAGATTGTACAAAAGATTTTCATTTCAATTGTACATTATTTCTGTTATCCGTTTGAATTCACTGTTTGACAATACTGACTTTGGAGAGTCATTCCACACATCGACGACTCTAAATATGAATGAACATTTCCGAACATCTTATTTTTCGATGTTTTCCTTTGAATGTTCATAAGAGAAATAAAGACTTAATATCAAACCAATTAAACTTTATTAGGATGAAAATGGTTTATGATTTTACGGTCGCCCATTAAACAATTGTAGCATTAATTTAAGTCTATTTTAATATCTATCGCTATATGATATATAATTCTCACCTGATACTAGTTAAGGAGCCCACCGCTTGACCCCATTAATTACATCGTGATCCTGTATATATTACTGATACCAAACGCTTCCTGTATTTATGGGGGCATGGCATCTATACGTTGACGCTGAATCACTTTTATGTTTACTTCTTCATTTATTAGTAAAGATGTATTGTGTAACTGCATGTCTATCATTCATTATGAAAGACTATATTAATCCCTTTCGTAATTTTGTTACATTTATCTGGACTTCTCCAAAGAGAGTGACCTACCGTGGACACAGCAGACCATGAACAAACCGTGGATGGACGCCCCGACTATAAACTCCAACACCAGGAAACTGTAGTATTCCGGCGCGAAGGCGGCGCTGACAGAAGAGGCGACCAGTATAACGGCAGTGATCGCAAAGGTTTTTTTACGACCAATGCTGTAGGAGAAATAATGTACAAATTCAGGAATGTGTCATATCTTTATATGCGTTAAGTATACTTTAAATATGTCGTAGAGGAGTTAAGGCGTTAAAAAGAAGGAAAAAAAGAAAATACCAGTTTCTTAATTCAAACGCAACTTTGATGAATGGAGAACAAAATAGGAACAAAAGACAGATTTATACGGAGACACAAGAAAAACAAAGTGAGATGATCGATAAAGTGAACGTCTTCTACGGATATACCTCATCGTTCAAATCTACCATTAAAATCATGGCCAGTTCAAATAAGTAATGTCACGTTCACCAATTAAGTCCAACAATAAATATAATAAGGTAAACAACAACGGAACCAGCAGGCATATAAAGGAGCGTTAAACATGTCCAACTTCATAAACAAATATAATACTTCCTCATAGTCTTTATCAAGTATCTGATGACTTACTAATCCGATAGCATGCCAAATCCAAGATCGCCCGCTAATACTCCCACGTAGAACAACATCTGGCTGTGAGAGGTCTTCAGGGAATCATCACACAACAGACCATGCTACGAGTAAAGGGAGATAACTTAAGGTAGCAGAAAGATAAATGGGATATAGAGACATAAAGGAAAGCCAGACAGATATAATCTGTGAGGAGAGATGGACGGACAGAACATAATTCCCTAGGGGTTATTCAACTGGAGAAAATATACGGCAAAATGTCACCTATTAATCAAGCTCAATTAATAAATATCCACAACATGTTAATCAGATATGGTAAATCATACCGATCTGAAGGAAGGATTTTGTCACTACGTTAACGTGTACATTCTGAAAATATGAAAATGTCGTTTAAATCTGAAATCACCAACATCAGTTGGGTTGTCAGTTATTTATATACAATGGATATACATAAAGGGGTATAGGTCTCTCAAACGGATTATGAATTAAACTACGATTAGAAAATTATTAAAAGAGAATATTTATTAATATTATAAACAATCAAAGAAACACATTTATTTACGCTGCTGATGAACTGTCAATCAAAACCGAACGCGGGATTTGGCACGAGGGACATGCGCAGTCACAACAGTCACGCGACAGTGAATGTACTTTCATTATCTCAATGTGTATACAAAAAAGAGTTTACGTGCAAGTGGTTTTGTCACGGGATCAACCATGTTTTCTTCTCTTTTTTTAGCACGTAGGCGATATGTACATGCCCGATATTTGGTTGCTTCTTCGCCGCCCACAACTTTACAGAATATATCGTGTCCCGGCGTTTATTTCTAAAACTAAACAAATTGATAGCGTAACTTGTAAATTTTGGTAATTTGGGAATGTTCGTGAATCCCAGGATACAGGAAAAATAGAATATTGCGCAAAGTTGTTTTAAAACGTACATTAGAACCAAAAGTTCGTATGTATACCCCTTTAAATAAAAACTTTGATTGTGATGATCGATACTGAAACTGAGCAATGTGGGCACATGGGATACCGCAAACATTGTGGTTAAATTCCCTTGGATATATTGCCTGTAATACTGTTGTTGCCTCACCTAAACAACGACATTTATTTATCGACCCTAAAAACTCAAAAATAAGAAGCAGATTAAATAGTAAGCAAAGTTTATCTCGTGAGAAACTACACACTTATTTTCGAGTAATGTAGGATATTACCTGTGTTGCAAACGTTTCGTCGAATTCTTTCTTAGTAAACACCCATTTGTTACACTTGACTTTCGTCGCCAGCTCCTTGTCTACCGCCTCCAGGTCTGAGTAATTGACGGAGCTGGGATAGGAGTAGGTGTGACACATGTCGTACGTGTCCGCCCCTGGGGAGGGGATGCTGACGTTGACAAGTTCCCGGTGGAAATCGCTCTGTATGTCAAACGTGTCGTTTGGATAACCAGCAATCATACACCTAGTATACAAAGATTTATATCAAATATATCAATGGATATTAATGTATATTGAGTTAAAAATACACACTCATCTGATAATCAACGACACCTTTAAAATTATTAAATAAATGGTAAACATCGAAATTGTTTCCTTTTTATGACTTTTAAACGTTATGCCTACGCTGACAGGTATACTTCAGGTATAGTTACAAAGAAACAGATGGCCGACAGCATTTAGAGTTCGATAAAAGATGCTCGACGAAGAAATAATTATTCCGCTCTTTTTTCCTTAGACGCAAAATTTTTTCATAATAAAATCCGGTCATAAAAAAGTACCATACTGTTCTTTGTGTTCCGTTTATTAAGTTTCAGGTGAACTGTGAAATTGTTGGACACTCATTGACAATAAAAAAACTGCACCATCAGAGGCTCTCATATTTAGGTCTATGGCAGTAAACAAATACAGGTATCGGAAACTGACGTCCCTGTACCCCAATGTTTGATTCATTCAATAACTCGCGTTAACAATAAACTTACTTTCATTATTTAATATGTACTTTCGAAGAACAAGTGAGAATTTACCTGTGATCAGGGGCTTGCATGGCGACGATCAGCATCATCATGTAACAGCCTGTACTAATGGCCGGAATACACAGGAGTAGGTACAGCCGCTTCTGATAGTAGCCGAACTCTCCTAACCGCACCAAAATATCATCAAACTTCATGATGAGATCGTAACCTACACGGTTAGCACCTGCCCTTGCGAAGAACTGAAAATTGAAATCTGATGAAAATATTCTTCTCCCACACCATATGAACACGTAAAGTTGAGAAACAGAGATTTGTGATATTCAGACATTGCTACGCGATTCAGTCCTCTCGTATTTATACGACGAGATAGTGTATCTGGAAACAGAATCCGGAACTTTTCTATCTCTACTATCAGCAACGCCAGTAACATTGGAAATAGCTTTGGTTCATAATTGAAGTCAGAAGTAAGGAAACATATAGGACAATTTTAAACTTTCAGAACAAATCATCGAAATTTGATTCCAGTAAGATCCAGTAAGATCCAGTAAGATTAAATTAAAAAATACTCGTGATTCTATGTAAAAATAGTAATACCAACATGTTAACGGCACTGTCAAACATTCTCAAAAAGAGTTCCGTCCGTCATATTTTAAAGGAGCGTATCCATTGGGAACTGCTGTAGATATCATGCGGACACTGTTTAGGTAACTGAAATAAGGGGCCATAACTCTGTGAATTACAGACCTAAAGGGCAATGAACCCCACTTTGGAGTTTGAAGTAGATCCGTTGAGTCTGTTTCGGTAATTAAATACAGGACCATAACTCAAGAAATAACGGTCATTACACTTGTCCGAGATATTGTGGTAATAAATTTTCTTATAAAGTTTGAAGTTCATTCGTTGAAAACTACTCAAGTTATTGAGCGGACACCGCCTGTGCCGCCTGTGACCGCATGTCCATCCGCTTACATGATAACATAAGACAACCCGTCTTTCGACTGGCATAGAAAAATGACAACAACCGTTGGACAAAGCGTGAAACCCATGATATCTGAGTAAGCACGTGGAGAATTCATTCAACCTTAGCTTCATTCGCGAACGTTTGATGAATACGTGTCACTACTCTTGGGCGAATTATAAAGTAGCGTTGCAGTTTGCGACAAAAAATAGAACGTAGGGCGAATTCAATCTTTTCCCTTACTAGGGATTTTAACATTTGATTATTCGTACAAAATGCGATAAGAATGTGTTTACATTGAATATTGGGCTAATTTCAAGACCCGGATCTGTCTATGCCAATAAAATGGAAAGTGTATCTAATGCACCAAGACCTACTTATAAAAACACATGTTGATGTATTGTTGTTTTTCCCATCGAGGTTTCCTCATGAATGTATTAAGCTGTTGTAAACACTATTATTCATTAGCTTAAAGGTGACTTGGTTTTACGGCTGTAGTTTTTGCAATGTGCATATCATGTCCATGCTAACATAACGAACATGACAATGATACAGTTTCGAGGATAAATCATTTCTTTTAAAAGTTTGACACAAAATGATGTCTTGTGTTGTATATAACTTTTCATTTATAGCTGAAATTTACTTTTTATAGAATAGCTTTAATATTTCCTAAGAGTTTCAATAGTTAAACAGTGCAGCTGTAGATACGACATGTTTTCACATTGTTCTTTGGATAATGTTGATTTTCCATTATTGGTATACGTACATTCATAGATAGGAAATGGATGAAGAAAGAAATATTCATATAAACAACACGAAGTCAAAATCAATTGTGTGAAAAACTGTTTACTTGTACAATATAAATTAAATGAAGCACAAAGTTCAAACTTTATCGTGTATTAAATATCTGGATTATCAGGGAAAATGGTATGAAAACCATGATGAAATTGTATCTACCTTCAAAGTCGGGGTCAAATTTTAAAAAAAAAAAAAAAAAAAAGCAAGACAACGATATAGCTTAACCCTAGTGTTTAAAATCGTTTTCCAACAGAAAATACTTAACTGATATCAAACAAACCTTCATATATTTGTTGAAAGCCTAAAATATCTATGATGCATCTGATGGTTTTGTAAAACCAATATCAAGTATTGAGTCATGTCACCGTTTTCAACATTCAAACATGTATGGATGAGTTGATGTTATTTAATAGCCTTACTGGTTCTCTTTTACTGCACTATATTAAGAATAGGGTTTTGACCCTCGACGTTGTTGTAATTCATATGTACATCATGGCAACTTTCTCTAACAAACGGACAGCCTTGCTTTATTCCACAGAAGTTATACACGAAAGAACTGTTGTGACATTCCAGTAAACAATTTCGGTTCATGATCTGTTTTCCGACTTCACTAAAGATGATCAAAATGAATATGATTTTTATTTATTTCTCTCATTACTGTTAACAATAGTTCAAAATAATCGATTTTTTTGCAGTTTAGCTTATATATCAACTGAACCACACAATAACAATCGAAACCGATTGAAAATACTTTTATGACAGTCTTAGTAGCCGCCTAAAACGCGTCTAAATTAAAATAAATGTGTTTTCGTAAGGTATTTTTACACAAAGGAAAATATTGAAAAACAAAACCGATTCAAAGTAATCGTTATTTCTATAGAAATACTGATTATATATCTGTTGGTGAAAACAATGAGATGATACAGCCACTTACCTTATGCACGCTCACACCTGTTGTGAAGTGACTGTATGTATCCCAACTTGCCCTATTATAGCAAGTCTACAGGTAATTGAAAGTGACCTGCTATCAATCATCTGGTCATACAGCAGACAAGCATGTATATTAGTTAGTGTCCTTGTTATTCCCTTGTGGCTTTCGCTTGTCGTCACTTATGGAGTCCTTTGAATGCTTGTGTGCATGATTATACAATTTGCGATGCACTTGAAATTCGAATATCTGATCAGTTGATTACCATATTGGCGATAGAAATAGATAACTATGTTTTCATATGTTAATGGTATTCAGACAGAGTCAACTTTCCAGTTTGTTTGAAATCAGAAAGTAATAGATGAAAAACCTGCGAGTTTTATCTTTATTTATTTAGGATTTAGATAAATTAAGTCAATTTCCATTTGATTTGTATTATTTTTTATATTACGTTCAATAGATATTTTTTATCTATAACTTGTTATTTCGTGATTGTTCACAAAGTCTTGCTTTTGTTAGGTTAAAATGATATATTTATAAAGTTAAAAATTTCCAATACAGTTGGAGTACAGTTTTCAATGCATTTAAGTTCATCACCAAGAGTTTATTTCTAAATTCCCATATTACCACAAATAAACACAGCTAAGGCCATCACTCGCGTCGATTGATCGCCTAGACGAAGATGGCTTCGGGGTTTGTTCCTCTATTCTTTGTTTGAAGGCTTACAGAAGTTATGATGTACAGTGGTAACGCACAACGCACGAAAACATCGTGCGTACTGCTTGCATACATCGTGCTCACACACGCTCTATATAACACTGGACCCTTCATTAACTAATCTTACCGTATATAGTTTCACACATCAGGCAGTGACAAGTGGTGTGTCTCGGAAAATTTATCTGTATCTGGGTACATACGTGCCAGGTCCAGATCTGTGTCCGAACACTAAGGTATCGTCCAGTTTTCCTATCGTGCGTACATCGTGCATACATCATTTGGACCTCGTGCAGAAATCTTGGGCAGTCGCATATCGTGTAACGTTGTGCGATGCCACAGCTGTATAAGCTGATAAGTCAGAAAGTAACAAATGACAGATTTTATGTTATAATATCTGTACCGAATTTCAGCTAAACATATCACGACAGAAAAAACTCATAAAACAAAACCTATCTAAAAGTTCCTGCTAGCTCAACCTTAAACCAGCTTTATTATATATCAATTTGATACAAAATACCAACTGGATTGGGCAATAGACCTACATCTAATTTTTTTTTAAAAAACCCATTAGTTTGGTAACTTATAACAATAGAAAATATTACGGATCATCAATTAAGCACAACATGCTATATATTACAAACTGTGGCCACTAGTGGTATTTGTACACTTTTCATATTACATGCAACTTGAAACATGTCAAATTTGTGAGTGACTTAGTACCGTTGGTACTGAACAATTGAGAATGATAAGAAATCCAAAGCGAACGAAATTAAGGTAAGTAAACTGAGACGTTAGCACCTAATAGGCTTAGCGAGAGATGCCAGAGACGTGCATCAAACTAATTATTATGTAATCTACCTTCTTCTAAATCTTTCATTCTGTTCCTATTTTTCGATTTTCCACTACTTATAAATCTTTCATTTTATCTTCTATAAGATTATGGAATTATGGAATAATATATCAATCAATGTGATAGAGATGACGTCTATCAACTGCTTTAAATTTAAAACTCAATAGAATTCTGATTTATTACCTCTGTATTGTTATGTTGGAAATAGAAAGTTGAGTATTTTTTACATACAAGGTTGCGACATGTCTGCAGTAGCTTAAGATATTGTTAGTTTAGAGTTAATATTATTAATTATCCTGCATGTGAATGTGGTAATAAATGTGAATATGTTGTGTATTATTTGTTTTGATTATATATTATATATTAGTCAAAGTTATTTTTTTATGACATTTCTCGTTATTGTAACGTCACAATTAATGAGCAAATGCTAATATCTTTAAGGTTTTAAGGTTATTTGTAAATATCTTCACTTCAGTAGTACATGTCTCTGTCTCCTTCACTCCCTTACTTCTCCACTGACCTTATTCAATTTCTATTCTGTTTTCATCTCTTCCCTTCTAAAATCTAAACATGTCGCAAATCAAATTTGATGAAAATGTATATTACATTATAGATATGTTTGATCTATGAGAAGGTGTTTCTAAGTTGTAATAACTTGTGCCTTATCCCATTTGCTAATTAGCTAATAAGATATGCTTGAATTAAAGAAATCAAATTTTGAATTTTTCATTCTCGCATGGTTATAACTGTTTTCGTGAGTTATAATTGGGATATATAATATTGAAGGACATTTATGATACCCGATCCTTTCACAATCAACCACTAGATTTTCTTGAAAATTTTACATAATGTTTATGCTACCATGTGTATATGATTTTGTGAAAATCAAACCACCACAACGAGCTGCTAAATATTTTGTGCAAAATGCAAAAAAAAATGTGTT